GAGTGAGAAGGATCGTGGAATTGTTGTAGATTACAAGGTAAATATGAGCCAACAGTGTGATATGGCTAAAAAAAATGGCAAATGCTATTTTAGACTGCATTAATAAAACTATAGTTTCCAAATCCCAAGAGGTGCTAGACCCTCTCTATTCAGCACTGTTTAGGCTTCATCTTGAGTAGTTTGTCCAGTTCTGGACACCACACTTCATGAAGGATGCTAACAAATTGGAACAAATTCAGAGAAGTATGACTAGGACGATCAGGGGACTGGAAACCAAGCCTTATGAGGAAAAGCTGAAAGAATTGGGCAGGTTTAGCCTTGAGAAAAGAAGACTGAGGGGTGATAGGATAGCACTTTTCAAATATTTGAAAGGCTGTCATACAGAGGAGGGGCAGGATCTGTTCTCAATCATCCTAGAGTGCAGGACATGCAACAATGGCCTCAAGTTAAAGGAAGCCTGATTTCAGTTGAATATCAGGAAAAATTTCATAACTGTTAAGAGTCGTACGACAGTGGAAACAAGTGACCTTGGGAGTTGGTGAGTGCCCCAACACTGGAGACATTCAAGAAAAACTTGGATAATCACTTGGCAGATGTGCTTTGATTGTATTCCTGAATTGAGTAGGAGGTTGGACTGGATGGCCTTCTAGCTCCCCTATTCTACAATTTTATGTGCTGTTGCCCAGTGCTGCTTTACAAATTATGCAGTTCTCAGTTGGCCAAGACTGACAGATAGAAGACCGACAAAAAAGTCACATAAATATAGACTACAAAGTTTGGAGACCAGCTCCAAATTAAGAGCACCATGAGCTAGAAATGGATCTAGAAAAGTCCAGACAAGATCTAAAGCTAGTACAACTGTTGCACAGCTTTTTACTTAGCCTCAGATCAGCCAGTTCTCTTCTGTCCTCACTTTCTTACTTCCTATTTCCTCAGACCACAACTACCAGGCAATACTCTAGTACAGGGTTAGCTGCATGCAACTAGGGAGATGTATGAGGCCTGCTATCATTCTGCGCGCCCCCATCTCAGACCTAAAATATAAGGTCTGGTTTTAGGAAATAGACTTGTCCATGAAAGCTGACATTAAAATAGAGCATCTTCATCTTGTTATTTTTCTTTTGTTTTTGGCCTGATATGCTAGCATAGACTAACACGGTTACCTCTTCTAAAACTCCAAAATATAAAGAATCGCCTGGGGAAAAATAGCTCCCAAAGTCCCTTTTTGATCTCTAGGAGGTGTGGATGACTATTTTGCATCACCTTGGGGGGTTCTAGTACCCCTTGGGTGCTACAGTCCAGGTTTTTTTTTAAAGAGCCAATAGAGGTCTAAGAAAGGCTTTTCCTGTTTTTTAAAAAATGATTTGTGTAACTTTTTGAGGAGAGATGTTGTTGTCTGTGAAAATGCAGCCCTCCAATGTTCAGGGAGGGGCATGTGTTTCCATGAACCTCTGGAGGATACCCACCCCAGATCGAATGAAAACATCTAGTGGTCTTCTCAGCTCAAAATGATTTGGGCCACTGGGACATCTATTTTAGCTCTCTAGCACATCAGCCACTTCTGCTGACTTGACACAAGGGCTGTGCGAAAGGAAAATAGGTCTTGTCAGTTTCTGTGGTGGCCTATTGTGCAGTATGCTGAGAAATGATGATGGCCAGCTGGGAGGGAGATGTGCTCCATTCTACCAGCCTGCAGATGAAGGAGTTGGGAATCTCAATGCTCCTCACTGACCTTTCATGCTAGCTGAATTAATTAGAGGCAGTTGTTAATATCAGCGAGGGAAGTCATCCACTATTTTGCATTCTGCACCTATTCAGCCATTGAAGTTGGCTAATTGCTAAAGCTGTGACTAATGTTCTCCTTTGTATGCAGTATAATTACTGAGGTGAGTAAGCTATGCATCACAGGACATTAAAGTTCAGGTGTACATTTCCCTGAGGATAAAGCAACACAAGCTGCTTTACATCTTTTCTGGTCCATTAAGGCCAGTGAGCAGTTTGGGATTTATTTGGCATGTGCAAATCTCTTTTCAGTAAATCTCTTCCTCTGTAGTGTTTTTGTCTCAGAGAGAATGTCCCAAGGCGCTGAAAAACATGACAGGGAGTGGTTGTCTCTCACCCCTGTGTGACCACACTTCCTGCAGAAAAATCCTCTTGGCAAATTCTTTCTGATCGTTTGTCACTTTAAGTCTTAGAATAAAAGAATACGTGAGTTGGAAGGGGGTTATAAGGCCATCAGGTCTGAACCCCTGGTCAGTGCAGGACTCAACAAAGCTGCAAGGTGGTAGGAAAGAAGAGGACTCTCCTCTTTATTTTTTTGGCTTTTATGCTGACTCTGCAAGAGTCTCCGTTGTGATCGGGCTGTAGATTTCAGCCTGCCTAGTTGCCCATCAGCACAGCCAGCCCCAATGATTTGACTTAGTAAGTACCTTGCTCTCACGGTCTACTGTAAATAGGCCCAAATTCTTCATCAAGATAATGCTCACCAAGGTGGTGGTGGTGGTGGTGGTCCTCAGAAAGCATCAGATTAGAGATGGGCACGAACCGGTTCCTCGCAGTTCATAAAGGCAAGAGCACAGGTGCTGCTGCTCCCTTCCCTTCCCTCCTCTCACTCTATCAGCCGCTCATCAGGCCCAGCATGCTTGCTTTTTTCACCTCCTCAACTGATCTTCCAGTTCCGGCAGCAGCACAGGCTTCTCTACCCCTCTCAGACAAAAGGGTGGGGCAGAGAAGTCTGTGCTCTTCCTGGTGACTGGAAGATTAACCAAGGAGGTGGAAAAAGCAAGCAAGTTGGGCCTGTTGAGTGGTTGGTTAGCTGAGGTGAGGGAGAGGAGCAGCAGTACATGCGCCGCCGTCTTTACAAGCTGGGATGAACTGGTTTGTGCCCATCTCTGCATCAGATACATCACCTTAGCATCTTTCTAAGTATCTTTTAAGTCTGGTCAATATTCTTTTCTTCCTGTTGCTAGTACAGAACAGTGAGGATAAGGTGCAACCCTCCCTAAACCTAGTAGGACACTCTCTTCTCAGTGAACCTGCTAAAGATTGCACTGTCAGTCACTACACTACAGTTCCTTTCATCATCTTGCTTTATGTGAAGCAGAAATCACAGACGTTAGATGACAGATGGACTACCATTAAAGAATGTGACTCTGCATTATGGGATTCATTTCAGAGGTTCTCCGTTTCTTTTCACCTTTGATTTACCAAATCAAACTGAACTTGAACATGTTGAGCCCCCAAAGCATTTTAATTACACCATAGAATTTTTTTCTTTTCCAGATTATAATCTCCCATCAGCGTAGCTACCAGATTGAGAAACCTGAGAGCTGTTTCTTGAAAAGGAATTTTTCATACTCTGTCGGTGAAAGAAATGAGCAATGTGCCCTTTGGATTTTTTTGGAATTCAACTCCCAGAAGGCTTTACTGCCTTGCTTCATGGCCTAACTTCCTGTTCAAAAGAGAGGCTCCCCGGCGCTTGCAGGGAGACTCTTTTTTTGAACAGGAAGCTAGGCTGTGAAGACTTTCAGATAGGCCTTTCTCTAGGTAAGCCACATTTTGAAGTCTGTGGGTCTGTAAGGTGGAGCTCCTACAATGCAGAATGCCTTGCGGTGCAGTGGTTAAACTGCAGTACAGTGGTGCCTTGCATAGCGATCGCTCCGTATAGCAACGAAATCGCTTTGCGATGGACTTTTTGCCATCGCAAAAGCGATCGCTTTGCGATGGTCCCTATGGGGGAAATTCGCTTTGTGATGATCGCAAGGAAGCAATCATCGCAAAGCCCCCATTTTCGGCCAGCTGATCAGCGGTTTCAAAATAGCTGCCGGGTAAACAAAATGGCTGCCCGCTGTTTTCAGGCATGGATACCTCGCTTTAGAGGCACTGAAATGAAAATGGCGGCGCTATGGAGGATCTTTGCTTAAAGGGGAGTTTTTATCCCATAGGAACGCATTAATCGCGTTTTAATGTGTTTCTATGGGCTTTTTATTTTCGCTTAGTGATGTTATCGCTTAGCAGTGATTTTTTTCTGCACGGATTAACATCGCTAAGCGAGGCACCACTGTACTGCAACCAAGACTCTACTCACAACCTGAATCTGCTCCTAATGGGCTCAAGTAGCTGGTTCAAGATTGACTTAGCCTTCCATCCTTCAGAGGTCAGTAAACTGAGTACCCAGCTCATGTGTGTCTGTGAGAGAGATGTGTAGCCTGTATAATTATGCTGTAATCCCCTCAAAGAGTGCTTCAAGTGCTATGGGGCAGTATATACATAGCATGCTTTATCATCAGCTGATCCCTCTTTCTCTCTTTCCTATCTCTGCTTCCCCCTCGAAAATGGAACCTGGGGTGGCTCACAATAGAGCTGCATGGACAATAAACCCCTCAAAACAAATAAGACACCAGTGTTTGAATATGAAAATACAGTTTAATGAAAATGGAATTCAAAGATATATCAAGTAAAGAAAAGAAACTTGTCACCTCAAAAACTTGTCATTGGCATATCCATTCTTGAAGTAAGATGGCTGCCCGAAGGACAAGCCATCTTAACCTACAAGGTATTCTAGAATGTCAGAACGGCCACCAAGAGTCCCCAACAACAACAACGTTTGTAAAAGAAGCATATAACAGTGAAATAAGGGCTGCCACTAATCAATACTATGTGTCTGTCTTTCTGTCTCTGTGTGTATGTGTGTGCTCTATTTGTGATATTCTCCATCACAATTTTTTGCTGGCCTTCCATCTAAAAAATTAATAGACAACATATGGCTAAGTGGTGGTGGAGAATAACACAAACAGAACAGGGAAGCTAGCCACTCAGATAACAGTGGGGCTCTGAATTACCTTTGGGTTTTAGTCGGAAGTTGTTGAATCTACAGTGGTGCCTTGCATTATGATGTTAATTTGTTCCAGCGAAATCGCTGTAGAACGAAAACATCGTAAAGCGATTTTAAAAGCCCATAGAAATGAATTAAAACACGATTAATTGGTTCCTATGGGCTTGAAACTCACCGTCCAGCGAAGATCCTCCATAGCGCAGCCATTTTCGCTGCCCGTGCCACAAGGAATCTGTCCCAGAAAACAGTGTAAGCTTGTCAATCACCCATTAGTGTGCATTCACAGAGGCCACAAAGAAGAAAGAGATGTTACTTACCTGTAACTTTGGTTCTTCGAGTAGTCCTCTGTGAATTCACATGTCCCGCCCGTCCTTCCCTCTGTCCGTCACGTGTGTCTCTCATTTTGAGCAGCAGCGGCATTGGGGAACTAAGGTAACCACTAGGATGAGCGGACCACGTGGCCTAGCAATCTTTTTCGCTCCAAAGCATCCGAAGCCTCTGCACATGCGCACACTTAACCCATTAGTGTGAATTCACAGAGGACCACTCAAAGAACCAGAGTTACAGCTAAGTAACCTCTCTTTTTAAAGTCAAGATGAATAAACAGTAGATTCATCGATTCATCAGAAAAAATCATGAACTTGTGTTTCATTAACTTTTTTTAAATTATGAATCACAACGAATTGCCACTTTGGCTTCTGTTGTGGGTTTTTGTTTGTTTGTTGTTTTTGCTTATTGCTGCACCTATATTTAATATCAAACTTGACAGATCTAAGGAATGCCATGGAACTCAGTGCTTCTGCTCTAGACCAACACAGGGGCTGTGTGGTTCCCTTAAACACAATGCATGGACAGCTTGTGAGACACCTGCAAAACAGTGGTCTGTCAAGACAGCAATCAGCAATTGATTTTGCTTTCCTGGAGGAGAAACTCAAGAACATGGCACCTCGAGTTGCTTCTCCCTGCACTGATCCATCTCCATGTTGGAATTTAAGTAAATACACTTTGTATAGGTTATAACACCTGGCCAGGATGAATGGTGGCCTTTTCTGCCTTCCCCACCCTTCCTATGTTCTAAAGCAGGGGTCCCCAACCTTGGGCCTCCAGATGTTCATGGGCTTCAACTCCCAGAAATCCTGGGCAGCAGAGGTGGTAGTGAAGGCTTCTGGGAGTTGTCATCCAAGAACATCTGGAGGCCAAGGTTGGGGGCCGCTGTTCTAAAGGACTTGTAAGCTTGCTTTTTTCCTTTTATAACATTTGGGTGGTCCCAAGAAAGAGATTACCCAGCTCTAAACTGATATTTCACTTTTGAACTGCATGTCGATGCCTCTTTTCTACTTTTTCGTTTGTTTGTTTTTGATGTTGCAGAACACTGTCAAAGAAACAAGGAGACCATCCTGAGATGGTCTACGGGACTTACCGATGTACACAGGAGAGTAGTTGGACTTGACGTTCTCATCCAGATAAGTCACCCCCAGGGTATAAAGTGGTGTTGCTCCGATCCCATGAAGGAACTGCCCAAGCATGAAGACGAAACGGTAATTGGAGAGACTAGAGACGCTTTCCGAGCACCTCATGCTCTGATTGGAAGCACACATGCCGGTCTCCTCTGAGAAATGTACGTCATATTGGCTAGTGGTGAACTGGGGCAATGCAAAGACGATGGACCCAATCCCCATGATCAACACCCCCCAGCCAAGCCACCGCGGTTTATGGCCGTTCCCCCCAAAATAGCTAACAAATGTCAAGCAGACGCAGGCGGCGATGTCGTAGGAGCTGGCAATCAGCCCGCTCTCATAGCTCCGCAGGTCGAATCGCCGCTCTATCGAGGTGATGACCGTATTAATAAAACCGTTCACTGTCATCCCTTGTAGGAAAGAAGCCACGCAGAGAAAGAACAAGACTCCTCGGGGGGTGTTGAAAAACTGTAAACAATTGGGAGTGAAGCCCCCCCACCCACACACGAGAGGCTCTCCTTCGGAGGAGACATATTTAAGGCCTGCATTGAACTGGCTGTCATTTTCAGATTCTGCATCGCAGAGCGGTTTCACGCAAGAGTCCGAAGGGCTGTTTGCGTTGGAGTAAAAGGTGCCATTGCTAAGCGGGGTGTTGCAGGATTCCTTAGGGCTGGGAGTATCAAAGGTAAGGCTTATATCCACAGGGTCGGATGTGCTAGAAAAAATAAGATTCTGGGTACACTTGAAGCCATTTTCTGCCACTAAGTTGTGAGGCATTTCTATGAGAGAAGGAACCAACTGCTGTTTTACTTTCTCTTTCCCTTCTTCTCCAAGGTTGGTTTCGATCCTTGTCACAAAAGGTGGAGCTTTTAACTTTCAGACCTGGAGAACAGGTGGCAACTTCAGGAATAAGGAGATGGTCAAAGGAGGGAACCTGAGCCACTTCATTCTGCAAAAATAACAATAAGAAGCATGAGTGAATCAGACATGACATTTATTCTATTGCATTTTCTTCTTGGTTTTTCTCCAGAAGGGTTCAGGGCCCTGTACCTTTTCCCCCACCCCATCCTCCAAGAAGGTGGGATATTTGTGGGTACTATCCATACACTGGTTTTACACAAATTGCAAAACTTGAGCAAACTGGAGAACTTGATCAAGTTGGTAAGAACAGTTGTTTTTCTCCATCAAGTTTTCAAAACCTGAAGCACTGGATGGGTTGCTTCCATCTTGTCAACACTCAAGTCGTCTTTCTGTATTTGCTCTCTCTTCATGTGTGTGTGTGTCTTTGTGTGTGTGAGCACGTGAACATGTACAACCTCTGTTTCTAAATGAACTGAACTTTAGGTTCATTCCACAAATGCCCCAGGGTATTTTGTGTAAAAACAACAACAACTAAACAGGAGGGGGGTCCCATGTCTTATTCTTGCACAGGAGGTGCGGGATCTTGTGGAACTTGAAAAATCCTCTTGTTGTGTCAAGATGGCTTTAGTCAACGAGAATGAAGAATATAGCGAGCATTCTTTCCGTCCCTAACATTGGTTGTCAGGAGAAATCAGAATTTATCAAAGTAACTTTTTGGATTACAACTCCCAAGAAATGTTTGCAAATTGTCAATTACAAATTGCAAATTACAAATACACAACATTTGGCTCTGTAGCCAAATGCCTAAATCACTGAGCAATCTATCTGTGGCAGAACATCCAACATGGGCTCCTCCCCTTCCTTAATTTAAAAGCCTTTTGTCACAGGCTTAAACTAATGTGCAGACAGCCCCCACCCATCCAATAAGGGTTCAGTGTGCAAGTCTCCCTATACTAATGCTCTCACTGAAGCGCCAACCCAATTCTCCCAGAGCAAGGAATTAAACTACTTACAACTATCATAGTTATTAATAAGTTACATTTGGGACGATTATTAAAATAACTACGAATAACAAAATTACTTTTAGGAGTAACAAATGACACCTAAGTTACTTCAACGTAAGAACGGCAGAGTAGCTCAGTAGTTTAAGGCATCTGGCTGCAGAGCCAGAGGTTGGGAATTCAATTCCCTGCTGTGCGTCCTTGGCAGAGGTTGATCTGTAGGGTCCCTTTCAGCTCTGCAGACGTCCTTGGCAGAGGTTGATCCGTAGGGTCCCTTCCAGCTCTGCAAGTTACTTTCAAATGTTATTTTGAAAGGCATTTTAGAGATATTTGGATAGGAACTTGATAGATTTTCTTCCATTCTTGCATAGAGATATTTGGACACGAACTTGATAGATTTTCTTCCATTCTTGCATCAGCCCTAACTGGAAAAGCAAAGCAAAGCAAAGTGTGTTGCTTATACACTGTCCGATAGTGCTTAGAGCACTCTCTGGGTAACCATTCTTTAGTTTTGGATTTTTAAAAAAATCCATAGTGCAGTATCAGAATTGGCCACAAGTGGGTACCAGAGAGTATTTCTCTGTGTTTTTTTATCCGGTTGGTTAGGGTGACAAGATGGAGTGGTCATAACAACATGAAACACCATCTATTTCTTTTCTGACCAGATCAATGATCATGGTAGCTTGACCACCAGGAGGTAAAGAGAAAGGCAGCTAGTTCCTTTTAGAATGGTCCAAGCTTTGATGATCAGTCCCACATCACGATCATTGGTAAGCAATGTACATTTTACCCATGGATGGAAATAACAGGGGTTTCCAGTTTATCCTCCTCCATTCAGACCAATGGGTTCTGTGGATTGTGGCTTTACCACATAAGGCTTGCTCAAGACTATTGTTGTTTCAGAACTTTCTGAATGGCTCCTGGTCATTTTGCAGAGTTACAGTTCTGAAAAAGTAACACTGAAGCGACTTGATGGTGGCATCTAGAAACTCTCTTGACTTAACATGGTGTGAATTCAGCGGGTGGGATTAGATTATTTCTCTAGGGACCTTAAAACAAGGACCACTTGTGCATTATCACTCTCGAATTGGCCTTCTCAGCCACACTAGACACTGTTCCAAGTCCTCCATACAAAGCACGTTACCATAGTCTCTCGAGACTGAAGGATGCCTAATCTAATCTAATCCTGTGCATTATCATAAGATATGGCAGTGATTGGCAGCATATATGAAAGAAACGTGACTGATTGTTTCTTTCAAGTGCTTTGATACTACAATGGATTTAATTATATTTTAATGTATTTTAATATTGCAATGTTACTAATATTGATTTTAAATTATGCCAGAAGCTGCTGAAGGTTTGAAGAAACAGATGGACAGACAGATAGAGGCAATTAGCAATCAGAGGCAGATTGTGGTTGTATTTTTCTATAAACATTACCTCCCATTCCCACATATATAAGAATATCTATGCGCTGAGACATTACTCCGTGCATCTCAAGAAATGGGCTGAAGTCCTCAAAAATGTATGCCAAATATGTCTTGCTAATCCTTCTGGTGCTAGAAGATTTTAGAAAATTTTTCACCGTTTACCGAAAAGGACTACAGACTAACATATCTCACCCTCCGGAAATGATGGGTATAGGTGACTAAGAAAAAAAATAGAACTGTTATGCAAACTAACTCATATCATTTTAATAAGGTGGTTTCTATAATTCTCCTTTGAAATAGGTCACACTAACCCTGTGGGGAAAGATTTAGTACAAGGACACTGTATGCCAAATTCCTGCTCCCCCGCCCCGAAAAAGGACGGAACAAATGTGGAGTGGAAGGAAACAATGTTTCATGGAAAAGCCGGCACAAAATGAATTGCCTAGCTCTCATGGCTGAAAAAAAGACTAGTTCATATCATAGGCACAGGACAACATATCCCGTAACTGTAGCAATTCTGTACAAAATGGTGGTTGTAAAGATTTTTATAGGACTTTCTCAGAACAAAGAGCCCCGTCTTCTTTTGCCATGCTGTCTAACAGCTTTGATTAACGAAAAGTTGTTAGTATTTTGAAAGTGAATTGTGCATGGAACCTTTATGTGTGTGTGTGTGCGTGCGCACAGTCCATCAAGTTAATTCCAACTATAGTGACCTTTTTCGAGGTTTTCCAGGTACAGAATACTCAGGAGTGGTTGACCGTTCCCTTCTTCCAAGGGCACCTCTAGGGCTATGCAGCTTGCTCAAGCCAACACAGGCTGGCTTTTCACCCTGGAGGCCTTGTGAGGAATCAAATTCCCAACTTCTGGCTCTGCAGCCCAGATTCCTATCCCACTGAGCTATCCATCCAGCCCACAAGGAACATAGTATTTAAAATGGCTCGTGGTTAAGGGACGTGGTGGTGCTGCGGGTTAAACCGCAGAAGCCTCTGGGCTGCAAGGTCAGAAGACCTGCAGTCATAAGATCAAATCCACGCAACGGAGTGAGCCCCCGTCGCTTGTCCCAGCTCCCGCCAACCGCTGTTCAAAAGCATGCAAAATGCAAAATGCGAGTAGATAAATAGGTACCACCATGGTGGGAAGGTAATTGCGTTCCGTGTCTAGTTCCACTGGCCACATGACCATAGAGGATTGTCTTTGGACAAACGCTAGCTCTATGGGTTGGAAACGGAGATGAGCACCGCGCCCTAGAGTCGAACACGACTGGACAGATTGTCAAGGGGAACCTTTACCTTTACCTAAGATGGCTCATGATACCCTGTTAAGTAGACTTATTATAGAAATATTTTTTAGAGCAATGGTTCCCAATCCCACCCCAGTCAACACAGCTTAGTGTGGGAGGTCTGCTTAAAGCCCGGGAAAGTTACTTTTAGAACAACAACTCCCAGATTCCATCTTTATTCCTGGCCATTTTATCTGAGGGCTTCTAGCCAATACACTCCAAAAAAAGAGTAACTTTTCTAAACTTTGGCTGTAGGGCTTTTGGTTGACTACATGAACAGCAACTCTCAACCCTCCTCCTGTCCTGAAAGGTTGCCCAAAGCATTGTAAGGAAACCACGGATCCAACTGAAAGGGTGAAGGGTAAACCTAAAAGCCAACCAGATGGTGTGCAAAGACAGTTAAACCCTGAAAACACCTTAAACAATTTTTTAAAACTTTGCTTCCAACCTCTAGCCACACTAGAAAAGCCAGCAAAGGTTCAGTTGTCATGTGTCATGATGATGGGATATGTAGTCAGAGAAATGTAAGATGGAGTCAGACAGGTTCTTTGTGAAGATGATTGGACAGACATTGGAATGTGTTTTTCTAAGTACTTTGAGAATGTTTTTCTGAAGATCGGTACTGCATGGTTCGAGTTAGGGCTGAAGGTTGAATCAAGAGTCCCGTGGAAGACTCAACATTCTGAGCTAATTGGAGAAGAGATAAAACACCTGGACTTTCATAGGAATTAAAGGGAGGAGTTACTGAATATAGAAAATGGACGATGGGTTATGTGGGAAAGGTTCAGTTAAGGGCTTGTTTTGGGATTCAATTCCATAATGATGGGAGAGAAAGGAACTTGATTGAGAGAGGGTGTAAGTAAAGAGAAAGAAGTAGGTGGGGCTAGCCCACTGTAGCCCACCTTAGTAGTGTTTATTATTTTAATGGGAAATAGTTATCTTATTTAACTGTAATAATCTTTGAATATGTTCTTTATGCTAAAGCTTGAGCAATATAAACTGATTCTATGGAACTCTATTTTTCTAATAAAAATTAATTATAAAAATTCTTACAAAATGACTGGTCTCTTGAACAGCAGGGTCTGGCTAAATCCAGGAGGTGGAGAGGGCCACAAACTAGCTATCTTTAAAAGTCCTACCAAACTGAGCTGTTGTGAGTTCTAAAGAACACAAAGCCCATGTGTCTGTACTCACAAAGTACTGGTTAAAAATAAAGTGTTCTTTTAAGGTCAGACTTGGTCAAGGGGCTCACGCTATGCACTGCTAAGATCTTGGGACTTGCCCCAGGGCAAAGGTGGTAGGTAAGTGGCCGTTCGGACTCTCTGACCGAGTGCTAAGCGCTTCTTAGGGAGACTTGAACAACACAATGGTGTGATCT